CCCCCCTCCCCCCGTCCGCCCATCATCACACTTCCGACAGAGTCACCATCACCACCTCCATCCCCATCACCCATCTCCTCACGCCCTGCCTACAATAGAGTCATCATCACCACCTCCGATGGAGTCTTCCCTCCTTCTATCCCCCTCATCCTCCCCAAAGCCCATCACACTGCTCCCGACACACTCGTTTCCGCTCGGCTCAACCACGCCACTCTCACCCGCCCACCCACAGCTCACAGTGAGCCACCCACCACCATCCGCCACCACCATGGCGTACACAGCATCTTCTGCAGAGTCATTTTCCCGAAGCACAAGAACCGAGCCGCCATGTTGTCCAGTAGACCGAGCCTCGCACGCGAGCGGGAGAGTTGCCTGCGCAAACTGCCTCGATGTGTTCTGCTCTGATCATGCAGCGCCGCTCGAGCACGACTGCATCCACATGGCCTCGCCGCCGCCGCATCAAGATCTTCTTCGCCTCTCGTGGGAGGTCGAGTCGGATGAAGACGATGTGGAGGCTGCAGGCAGAGCTGCGTCTAGCTCTGACGAGTTTGATGCTCTGGAGGACTGGCGCGATGAGACGGAGCTCGCCTCGCTTGTCCACTCGATGGCCCGCATGTCACCGCGGTCACGGCAGACTGCCATTGGAAGCACGCCGGGCCTCTCGTCTCGCCGCGCCGCTATGCTTGTCGCGCTCTCGGCGGCCGGCTGTCACGTCCGCACCATCCATGAGACCCGCGAGTCCGGTATGCACTCTGTCGTCGTCGCTGCGCCCGAGCCCATCATCGAGCGCGCCGCCGAGGCTGCGCGCATGCAGATGCCAACCCGCTTTGGTGCCCGAACGTTTGACGTCGACGACCGACAGGCCTTTGTTGACGCTGCCCCGCCGCACGCTGCTCCGGGCTCGCTCTTTCTCCGCGCGCAGCGCATCGAGGCGCTCATCGGCTACATCCGTGACGCCGTCGACCCCTCGCCATTTGAACTGCTGGCTGAAGGCGAGCTCGACGCCATTGTCCCACTCCATGAAGAGCCGGACCTCTCGCGGCTCCAGAGTGGGACCCAGGTGTGCGGCCCGCTGCCGGCGCTCGACGCCATCCGCGGCTACTTTGGCGAGTCGGTCGGCTTCTACTTCGCCTTTGTCGACCATCTCACCATGGCCTATCTCTGGCTCATTGTCCCGGCGCTCATCACTTCCGTCATCCAGTGGGTCCTCCAGAACTCATCCGAGGAGGCGTGGATCACCATGGCGTACACCGTGGTGGTCCTCCTCTGGTCGACAATTGTGCTCGAGACGTGGAAGCGCCAGCAGGTCACCCTTGCTGCGGCGTGGGGCATGCTCAACCACGAAGAGACTGAGCGCCCACTGCCGAGCTTTGCCGGCGTCACCCGCCGCGGCCTCTACGTCGGCGCTGCCTTTGTACCCGAGGAGCGACTCCGCTCGGTCGGCCTCCCCGCCGACGACGCCGTGATCGAGACCGTCCACAACCGCACAAGCCGCCGGCTCCGACTCTCGGCCTCGGCAGCGTTCACGCTCTTGCTCATCGGTCTTGTCATCTGCGCTATGCTCGGCTTTATGGGCATTAAGCTCGCTCTCGAGTCGGGCAAGGTTTTTGGCGAGCGATACGGTGCCATTGCCGGCGGCGTGATCAACGGCCTCGGCATCACTTTGCTGAACAAAGTGTACGAGCTGGTGGCGACGAGGCTCAACGCGTGGGAAAACCATCGGACTGCGACCGAGGCTGCCGACGCACTCATTGTCAAGCTTGCTGCGTTTACCATCGTCAACTCGTACGCTAGCCTCTTCTACGTCGCCTTTGCCCGCGAGGCGCCGCTGTTTGGCGAGGGCAAGTCGTGCGCGCCCGATTGTCTCGACGAGCTTGCCACCATCCTCGCCTCGGTCCTCATCACCCAGCAGGTATTCCGCCTCGCCAAGGAGTTTGTGGTTCCTGTTGCCAAGGCTGCGCTCCTCCGCTTTCTGGGCCACGGAGGCAGCCACGATCATAAGCTCGCGCCGGCACCGCAGCTTCACAAAGAGTACGCGACTCTGGTTGTCACTTTTGGCTACGTCACTCTCTTTGCTGCCGCCTTTCCGCTCGGCGCCCTCACCTCGCTCGTCCTCGGCCTCATCGAGGCTCGAGTCGACCTTGCCAAATTTGTGCTCTCGCAGCGGATCGAGCCGCGTGGTGCCGAGGACATCGGCGCGTGGCAGCACGTTGTTGAGGCGCTCTCGCATGTGGCTGTTGTCACCAACACTGCCCTTCTACTCGTCACCTCGCCGCATCTCCGCGACACAGTGACCAAGCTCATGCCAGGCACCCCGAGCTCGGCTGAGACCCTAGCCTACACCGTCCTCATTGCTGCAGGAATCGAGCACGCCGTCTTTGCCCTCAAGTACATTGTCGCCATCGCCATTCCAGACGTACCCGCCGCCGTCCGCGAAGCCCTCGCTCTCGAGCGCCTTGCCGAGTACCGGTCGCTGGTCGCCCGCCGGCGCGAGGCCGATGATCTCCGCCAGTGATGCTACGCTGGCAAACGCGCGGGTGTGTAATAATGGAGGGCAGAGTAAATTATCACACAAACGCGCCGTAAGGGGTGTGGTTGGCGTCGAGCTGCCGCTGAAGAATCCGAGCCTGCTCGCGTTGCTTGGCGCGATGGGCGGCACGGTCGGCCGCCATGGCAGCCATGTCGCGCTCATGCTGGGCGGCCATCTCGGCAGCAAACTGAGCATCACGAGCGCGCTCGGCCTCCTCACGGGCGCGCTTGGCGGCGACCTGCTCGGCAAGGACGCGCCGCTGCTCGGCCTCACGGGCGCGCTTGGCATCGAGCCGGCGCTGAGCCTCGGCGTCGAGCTCCGCTTCTTTGATCCGCCACTGCTCCAGAATGCGCGAGTCGAGGTCATCCTCCTTCTGCTGGTTCTCCGTCCAAATCTGCTGCGTTGCCTTGAGATTGGCCTCGTACTTTGCCTTTTGGGCGGCGATGGCGGCCTCGCGGGCGGCGTGGCGCTCGTTCTCGAGCGCGATGGCGGCCTCGTACTCGCGCTGGGCAGCGTCGGCCTCCTCCTTTTCGCGACGAGCTCGCTCGGCACGGACCAGCTGCAGCTGCTCGTCGCGTTCGGCCTGCAGCCGCATGCGGGCGTTATACCGAGCGGCGCGCTCGTCGCGCTCAGCTTGCTGCGCGTCGGCAATAGCCTCCTGGACCGACTTGTGTTCCTTGATCTTCCAGTCGTGCTCAAACTCGCGGACCTCCTCCACGGCCGCCATCGCCTGAAGCGCCCGGCGCTTGGCGTCGTCGCGCTGCGTGGCAAGCCGCGCCTTGCGCGTCGCGTCCTCAGCCTTCATCCGCTCGAGGTGGTCAGCCTCCTCGGGCGAGAGCAGAATCTGGGTCGCCTTCTCCTGCGCGTCGCGCAGCTTCTTCAGCTCTATCTGCTTCTCCAGCTCGAGCTTGTGTCGGCGCGCCAACTCGCGCCGCTGTGCCTCGCGCGAATCCTCGACGTCGTCGTACGTGAGCTCTTGCTCGGCGCGCGCGGCACGGAGCGAGAAACCGGTCGGCGAACCGCCCGGCTTGAGGTTCAGCAGTCGCGACGCCGATCGCAGGATTTCTTGCGCAGACTTGGGCGAGTCTGCCGCCTCGAGCGAGTCGGTGATGGTCTTCATCAGCTGCGGCGAGAAGAGCTCGGCCGCGTGCGGCGAGAGCGCCTTGCCCGAGCCCCGGTCCGGCGACACCATCGCATATGACATTGGCTTACCTGTCAGTGGCGAGATCGGTGAGCCGTGCCACGGGTCGAGAAGCGGCGCCGCCTTTTCGGCGGCGTCCGCATACCCGACGAGGAGCCGGCCATCGACCGCGACGGCGGCAGGCCGCGACGCTGCGGCGGCGATCGCGACTGGAGCCGCGGCTGCGGCTCGGCATCTGCCTTGTCCTCAGTCGGGGCCGGAGCTTGCAAAGGCCGCGCAGGTGATGGTGTCGACGCAGTCCGCGACGGCGGAGCGCCGGCTGCCCGTGCGTCGGCCCGTGCGATGGACGAATCGTACAGCCGCCGCGGATAGCGCATGTCCGGGTTCGACGGCGGGCGCTGGGCATACGAGTACGAGCCGAGCGAGGATCGCGCACGTGGGGGCTGCCGAGCCGAAGGCGAGTTGGGCGAGGCCGGAGTGCGTCCGGAAGCGAGGGCGGCGGGCGAGTTTGCGGCAGCGGGCGAGCGACGATGATGATGACCGGTGACCGACGAGGCGCGCGGTGGCTGGTAGCCATGGCCTCCAGGCGAGCGAGAGCCAGTGCCACGCGACCACCGCGACGGCGAGCCATGCGCTGGCGAACGAGCCTGTGATGGCGAACGAGTCGGCGACGGAGAGGTCATGCCCAGACCACCCAAGCCAGAGCCGCGCGGGCGGGGCACTCTGCCGGCCCTGGCCTCGCGCTCTCTCAGTGCCTGTAGATGGCCCAAGCGAGACGGGGAGAGTGACCCACTGCGGACACCTGCACCCGACATGGAAGGGAGAGAGTGGGGTGGTGGGACGTGTATGTGTGTGTGTGTGTGTTTGTGTGTGTGTGTGGAGGGGGGGGGAGGGGGGGGTGGCCGTTGCGGGTGGAGCGGGGGGGAGGGGGGGGTGGCCGTTGCGGGAATGGTTGGTGCCGTTTTGGGTAGAGTTGTGGGCAGTTGGGTGGATGATGGGATGGGGATGGGGATGGGGATGGGGATGGGGAATGGGGGCGGTGCATGAGATGGAAGAAGGGTAACTGGATTAGGCGTAGTCCCTGATCTTGTTGCTCTACCGCCTCGTCGGGCTGCCGATGTCGTGCCGAGACCGATCCAAGCCCAATACGGTCACAAGCCAACTCGGCACAGCATATCCCAACCCGCTGCACGAGTCCAAGTGCTCTATACCAACTCCCGCGAGTTGTGCCCTGATTTCCCCATCACAATCTGTTGCGGTGCCGACCGAGTGGCGGAGACGAGGCAGGCGGGCGAGCGGACGGGCGGGCGGGCGGGTGAGCGAGCGAATGCGACACAGGTCAGTCGCAGAGCCGGCGTGGGAGGGGAGGCACGGCGGTGCCAGCGCGGACGAACGAACTCGGGCTGGGCAAAGGCGAAGGTGAGGGTGCGGGGCGACACACTCGACTGCACCCGTGCACAACATCATGGCAAAGAAGGGCAAGAAGAAGAAGGTATGGGTGTCTTGTGTGTATGGGATGGGGTGAGAGGAGGTGGGATGCTATGGCTAGCTTTTCTTCGTTGGTGCCCCGGCAGAGGCTTGTGGAAGGTAGCGGAGGTAGTGGCCTTGGCGCGGTGGCGCGGAACAAAATTTGGAAGGTCTTTTGGCGGGAGACGCGTGGGGTGATGCGGAGGCCGCAGCCGAGGCACGGGGGCGGGGAAGCAAGGCAGAGGGAGGGTGGGGAGGGGAAGGGCAAAGACTCATGATGGATGGTGGATGGGATGGCAGCTCTCGAAGGAGGAGAAGATGAAGTACCAGATGGCGTTCAACCTGTACGACGAGGACGGGTCGGGCACCATCGATGTGGCCGAGTTGGGCGCTGTGCTCAACCAGACGGGGCTCAACCCGACCGAGGCTGAGATTCAGCAGGCGTTTGACGAGCTTGACCTGGATGGTGATGGGGAGATCACCTTTGATGAGTTCTGCGAGATGATGGCAAACCGCGAGCCCACCGATCCCGTGGAGGAGCTTCGGCTGGCCTTTGCTGTCTTTGACGAGAATGGCGACGGCTACCTCTCCGCCGACGAGCTGGAGAAGATCCTCACCAAGATGGGCACTCCGGTCTCCAAGGACACCGCCGAGCGGGTCATTGCCGACATCGACACTGATGGCGACGGCAAGGTCGACGTCGAGGAGTTCATCGCCTTTGTCATGAACCAGCAGGAGTAGTCATGCTGTTCCTTGCCATGACCTTGGCGTGGCAGACAGGTGTAGAAGGCTGTCTTCCCGTAACACGAAAGCGTACACTACCTCCCCCCCTCCCCCCTCGCCCTACCCCATCCCTCTCTTTCGCCGCCGTCATCGTCGCCGCCGTCACTTTCGCCGTGGCTGACACTCGACTCGACACACGCCATGGCGGATAACCCAAACCCGACGGTGTACATGCCGACAACGGCCCACCGGGAGGTCAAGGTCGACTATGGTATGTATATATGTATACATATATATTAATATATGTGGGTGGGTGGGTGTGGGTGGGTGTGGGTGGGTGGGAAGTGGGACGGTGGGGTCTGGGAGGGAGTGGTGATGGAAGGCCTCAGCGGTGGAAGCGGTGCAGGCTGCAGGGCTCCCGGGCCTCGAGTTATATGTT